CTCCCCTACCTCTACCTCTACCAGTTGATACTGAGGGCCTCGCTCTAGAGGGCGTACTGAAGAGGAGGAGACTGTTATAGATCTGGTGGGCCGAACCATCTCGCCTCTTTCCTTCATAGGACAATCCCTCATGTAATGACTAGGGTCTCCACAAGTATAACATACATTAGACCCCTAACGACATTGTCCAGAATGAGCTCTACCGCATTAAATGCACCACAGAGGAGGTGCCCTCATCTGCGCTGAATCCCTCCAATTTTGAAAACTTAAAATTCTCAAGTCCTACCCTGATTTAGAATAAACAGATCCCTCATAATGCGACCTCTGCCACTGTCGGACACTATCAACAGGATATGCTGGCATAGGATCGCCCGGAAAATCCTCAAGTTGTCTAGCAGATCTAGCCCTCTTACGCTGACCCTCATCACGATCCTTGTATTACTACCATTTTCAATCCTCCAAATTCTGAGCATGAGCCTAGATACGGGAAATATCTATACTATCGAGCAAAGCGGCCGTGAAACACTCATTAATCAGGTGTGGCCCAAGTCCTACCACAAACCGATGCACTCGGTCACTCATCTCAGCCACAATTGAGGGGCATACCTCGCTAAGAAATCAAACTAGAGACTATACTCCCCGCACACTCATATTCTCTTGTTTAAGAGCCAAGAACCTATCTATCCTTACCTGACAAATCTCTACTGGCAAGTAATGACGAAGAAAGCCCCTGAGAACTCTTCCCATACCGTTGGAGGTGCATTTATCCCTCTAGACAATTCCCAAACTTCATACCGCTGAACCGCAATATCCCACAATCGGTAAGAGGCTAACTCTACTGACTTAGTGTCTGATGCATGCATCACCCTCAAAATCCTCTACATCCTATCAATAAAGTTTGTGGGTCCTCATCCTTATTGGATCCGGTAAACACTGGAGGATCCGGGTTGATGAAGTCTCGAACTCTCGCGCTAATAACCCTATCAACGTAACCAACACATGTACCTACCTAGCGTTGAGCCTGAGCGGCTACCAATCTAGTCAACAATCGTACTGCACTCCACATATACATATCTTCATCATGAGCAATAGGTGGATGTACTGGGTTCCTCTTCAGCTCCTCGGGTGCTGGCGAAATCGGAGAACTATGCGAGGGTGTCACACTTCCACTCGGGGCCTTACTCTGGCCCTCACTAGATACTGGTGCTCTACTCATCCCCTCATCTGCCACTATTTTACCCTTCTGACTAGCTGTAGCTTTCCTGGTCATAGACATCGCTGTATATATAAAACAAGTCTAAGGTCGAGGGCTTTAATCCCTACAACTTTACTCTATTGCACGATCTAATATCAAGAAAGAAAGGTAATTGGTCCCTAAATGCGCTGTAGTTTCCTTTTTATAAAACGTGGTGCACAACACATTTATAAACATGACTCTATTATATACGGCTTGCAGATAACCCTAGGACAGATCCGCTTAGATACCAAGTTTGTCACGGCCTAAAACGGAGGGCCATGACTGGCACCCAGAGCATACTCAACCGAGCGCCACGTACTTTATCCTTGTTTACTATCATACTTGTCACGGGCCATTACAGGCCACATCTGTATATATAAGTAACAATATTAGAACTTAACTCGCATACCTAATTCAAAAAGATTTATATAGATACATAGAGGCCGATAAGATTGTTGACATGTCATACCCAAAACTATACATAGGATAAGTCTGCAAAATCTCTAAGAAAACATGACCATAGTATATAAGTCGGGAGAGGGCTTCCGACATCCTCATAAAATAAAAAAATATATATAGAACCCTAACTCGGAAATACTCCAGGAAGAAGTGGAGCTCACCAACCAAAAGCTGATATCTGGAGGCAGCCTACATTGGAGGGTCCTCATCTCGTCTATCTACACCTACGTGGAATGAAGCACAATGCCCCTAGATAAAGGGACGTCAGTACGAAGAATGTACCGAGTATGTAATGCAGGAATGAAACATAACAATAAGACACTATTACTGAGAGGGATAAGAATCAACCTGTAATATCTAACCCACCGCTATGGGTCATAACATGCATAATAATTTCAGTTTCGGATATACATATATATAGCTACAATACCATAGTTCTGAATACATCATTATCGTGATGTTAATTGCCCAACTGATTAGTGGTAACTGCCCAACCAGTCGTAGCACGATGGTAAATGCATGACTGCCTAACTGGTCGTAGCCGATGGTAAATGCATAACTGCCCGACCGGCCGTAGCTCGGTGGTAAATGCATGACTGCCCAACCAGCCGTAGCTCGATGGTAAATGAATGACTTCCTAACCGGCCGTAACTCGGTGGTAAATGAAGATGCATATAACATTATATTTTGAACATTAACATCTCGTATGCCTCAATAGGGAATTAGAAACATACTTAGACATGCTTTGAGTATCATTTTATAAGAATGAATAACGTAGACATCCTTAACTACTAAGAGTAGAATCACTTATAGAATACCATTATATTTACGTTTTATAATTTGAATTATGCTAAAATAAGGAAGGATTAGCCTTAACATACCTTAATTACTTATACGAGCTCATAGAAGATTGTCTTCTTTAAAGTTCCCCTACACCTTACTTCAATTGAGATAATTTGATAAAATGAGCCTCTTATTAAGACTGCAGTTCTTCTTCGTTAAAATAGAAAGAATAAACAAGACTTTTGTGTTGTACTTCATTGAATTGAAATGAAGAGGAATATAAATTGCTACTTATTGATTTATAAAGAAGGTAAGGAAAGGATATGATGCAATACTAGTAGTATTTGGCGGTGGATCATGACTAATTAGATAGAGATGCAGCTTTTTAAGAAAGTTTGGCACGTGTCCACTACAACAAAGCTGTACATATCACATTACTTTATATAGAGGTAATGGAATATATGTAAGTGATGGTATAAATAACATAAAATATTATACCTTACATTGCACACTATATTAATAATTTTGACTCATTAATAAAATAATGCATGACTACTTATTGAGACCTATGTAATTTTATCAAATTCATTTTTTTTAACCTAATATCAAAAGCACAATTTTTTTGTACTATTAATTCTAAAATGGGTAAAAATATAACTTTTCTTATGAGAAAGTAATTTCTTTTTTTACAATACATGAAATATTATTTAAAAGTTTCCTCATATCATGTGTTTAACTAAAACTTATCAAAAAAAAATATTACACTAATAACTTTTGATAATCATATTTATCCAACATTTACAAAAGAATGTTTCTCTTAAAAGAAAGTACCATATCAAGGCAATATACAACGTGTTTAAAATTCAATAAACTTATGGGGTCTTACATCTATAGCTTCATGTACGACCTTAATCTCTTACAACTAACATGGTTTTACTACGATGCATCGAAACACTAAGGTACGAGGTGTTACAACATGAACTTCTCGAACCATGTAGAGATCATGGGCAGGACTTGATTTCCTATTTGAACATGTTATTTGTTGTTATATGGCATCGCCTAACCTGAGCTGTAGTTATACACTTCGCATATGCCTACACCTTAGCATGATATTTTGTCAGTCCATGAGTATTCGATGAATGTGTGTGTATGTATGTATGTATGTATGTATGTATGTATGTATGTATGTATGTATGTATATATATATATTATCGTATATGCTTTATGTGTGTTGGATTAGATTGATGGCACGTGCATTGTTCGTGCGTTCATTGTAATTATGGCACGTGAGTTATCCGTGCTGAATGTGAATAATGATCCACCCCCTAGGATCGACCTCTCGTGTTTTTCCTTGACAAGGTACACGCGGATTACAGAAAATAGATCAGTGGTTGGATTTTGTGTGTCTTTTCTATATATAAACTCCTTGGATATATACATAATTTTTACTACATATCTTCTATATATGCTAGTTCTGGAACATATACATGCCTTTTATGCATATATTCTCAATATGCCACATTATTTAAGAATTGATTTAAAGTACATATCTTCTCTATGTGTCAATATGTGCAACTTGACTTGCTTATTCAAGCTATATGCAATTGTTGACAGAATTTGATATTTCATTCATGTTTTCTTTATATGCAATTATTGATGTGTTATGTGATATCAAATGTGTATTCTCTATATGTTAAACTGTTAGTTGATTACAATTCCTGTGCGTATCTTCTCTATGTGCACTGATAGCCTTATTCGAGCTTCATGCTTAGATTTCGATACTGATGCTGGGTACATGTATATGTTATTGAGCCATGCAGATTATGTAAAGTGAGTATTCTTGACCTGAAACCTCGTCACTACTTCACCGAGATTAGTCAGAATACTTACTGAGTACGTGAGGTCGGTTGTACTTATACTACACTTCTGCAGCTTGAGTGCATATCTTGGAGCTGAGCTGCTAAAGCTAGTATTGAAGATATACCTACCTTCGAGATATAAGCTACCACTTGTTCTTGGTAGTTTATAATTTGTACTTCTCTTTATGTATATTCAAACATATGCTTTATTTATTTTTCGTACCAACTTTATAAATCTAAATCTTAGTGGCTCATGAATTGTACTACAAATTCTTGGGGGTAATTGTATGGATTTTCACCTTCTTATTTATCGTTATCGATGATCTTTCGTTTGAACGGTATTATTTATTATTTGACTTACCTAGCATACTAGGGATTAGGTGTCATCATGACTATGTGAGATTTTGGATCATGACAATGAATGATGATTTTACCTTTCTTTAACCATTTGAAAATAAGAATTTGATGAAGATTGCAAATGGTTGAATATCAAACCAAAATAACTACATAATTAAAGTATAGAAGTTTACGTGTACACCGTTCTCTCTAATAAAACAATGTCAAACCACTCCATCAACAAGATGTAGCTTGTCATATATCAACATGGTATGCTTTTCGGAGCAAAAAGGATTACCTCAATTTCATGACACCAAGACAAAGGGCTAACGCGTAAAAGGACAAAGAAGATCACGTTACTTTTCCTAAGGTTAGCAAATGCACTAAATTCCCAACCGTCAAGGTAGGGTATAACCCCGATGCCCAGTGTACAACATTGAAGTGCATACTATATACTATAACCCCGATGCCATGTATATACTATATAGTTCATTCGCCCCAAATTCAATTCAAATCACCCCAATGTATATATAGCAAACAAATATTAGTAATCATTCTTGACAACTTATTTCGATCCGAGGAGCGAAAAGGAATCGGCAATCAGAATGGCGATGGCGAGGGGAAGCTCTGGCCTCGCTTACCCGGAACGATTTCATGCTGCTGCTGCTGCGTATGCAGGTTTTGATGGATCTCCCCCCGACCCTAATAGCTCTAAGTTCTCCAACGAAGTCGCTTTGCTCCTCTTTGCCCTTTACCAGCAGGTCCCTTTTTCCTTCTTTCCTTCTTGCCCGTTTCCTTTTTTTTTAAATTGTAATTTTGTTGGTTAAATGGCTTGATCTGATTTTCCCTTATGTTGAGTTACGGCAGAGGAGGGATAACTGATAGGAGTACTTAATCTATAAGGCGCCTTTGGCATATTATTCCCGTTGAAATTCTCGTAGATCTGGACTTTCATTTCCCTGTATTGTTATGATAGGAAATATATTGTTTGATGAAATCATTTGCTATTTCTTATTATATGTAAATTCGCAGCTTTCAGAAGAGAACAAATCGTGAATGTATTCTGGTCCAACGAAATAGTTTACATAATTCATAGAGTACTATTTATGCACTCCCGTACATATGCACGTGATCAACAAGGAGTAAACCAAGCTGAAGTTTAAATCTAAACAGATTTAAACTTGGCAATGTCCTTGGCAATGTCCTTCATATTTATATAAGATTATAAATACAACTAAAATACAAACCAATTTTCTGTTATAACTAACCTAATATGCTAATACGTACCCCTCCAGTTGGAGTAAATACATTATATATGCCCAAAACTACTTTTTGACCTAACGCCTTTCGTGAATATGTCAGAGGAGTAGAGGAGGCAAAATTAGCGGTCACAGAGGCTAAGACTGCTGCGTTTGATCGGATGTATGAGGAGCTGGGGGGCAAAGGTGGGGATAAGAAGCTATTTCGGTTGGCCAAAGCGAGAGAGAGGAAGGCTCGTGACTTGGATCAAGTGAGGTGCATCAAAGACGAGGAAGGTAGAGTATTGACAGAAGACTCCCAGATTAAGCATAGATGGCAGACGTACTTTCATAAACTTCTAAATGAAGAGGGGAGCGGTAGCATCGTGCTAGGGGAGTTGGGACACTCCGAGAGTTACCGAGACTTTGGGTACTGTAGGCGTATCAAGGTTGAGGAGGTAGTGGGAGCTGTGGGTAAGATGAGTCGGGGCAAAGCGACAGGACCAGACGAGATTCCAGTAGAATTTTGGAGGTATGTGGGTAGAGCGGGCTTAGAAAGGCTGACTGGGCTGTTTAATGTTATTTTCAAGACGAAGAGGATGCCAGATGAGTGGAGATGTAGTTTGATGATTTCATTGTTTAAGAACAAAGGTGATATCCAGAATTATAACAATTATAGGGGCATCAAGTTGTTAAGTCATACCATAAAAGTTTGGGGGAGGGTGGTGGAAGGGAGGGTGAGGAGGGCGATATCTATTTCTGAAAATCAGTTCGGGTTCATGTCGGGACGTTCTACTACGGAAGCTATCCACCTTATAAGGAGGTTGGTGGAACAATACAGGGAGAGGAAGAGGAATTTGCACATGGTGTTTATTGACCTAGAAAAGGCGTATGACAGGGTCCCTAGGGACGTTCTTTGGCAATGCCTGGAAGTGAAAGGGGTGCCGGTAGCATACATTGAATCGATAAAGGATATGTATGATGGAGTTAAGACTCGGGTCGGGACCGCAGGAGGTGACTCCGAGCTTTTTTCGGTGATTATGGGGTTACACCAAGGATCTGTGCTTAGCCCATTCTTATTTGCTCTGGCGATGGATGCCTTGACACACCATATTCAAGGGGAGGTGCCATGGTGTATGTTGTTCGCTGATGATATAGTTCTGATCGATGAGTCGCGTAGCAGTGTTAATGAGAGACTGGAGGTGTGGAGGCAGGCTTTGGAGATTAAAGGTTTCAAGTTGAGTAGGACCAAAACGGAATATCTGGAGTGTAAGTTCAGCGGCCTGTCGGGGGAAGCGGACGGGGTGGTGAGGCTCGACTCACAAGTCATCCTCAAGAGAGGAAGTTTCAAGTACCTAGGGTCTATTATCCAGGGAGATTGACGGGACGTCACGCACCGCATTGGGGTGGGGTGGATGAAATGGCGGTTAGCATCTGGAGTCCTGTGTGACAAGAGGGTATCACCGAAACTCAAAGGTAAGTTCTACAGAGCGGTGGTTAGGCCGACTATGTTATATGGGGCTGAGTGTTGGCCAATTAAGAATTCACGTATCCAGAAGATGAGAGTAGCCGAGATGAGGATGTTGAGATGGATGTGCGGGCATACTAAACTGGATAAGATAAGGAATGAAGATATTAGGGAGAAGGTGTGCGTTGCTCCCATGGACGACAAGATGCGGGAAGCGAGGCTTAGGTGGTTTGGACACGTGCAGAGGAGAACCATAGATTCCCCGGTTAGGAGGTGCGAGCGGTTGGCTTTGGCAGGTACGAGAAGAGGTAGAGGGCGGCCTAAGAAGAATCGGGGCGAGGTGATCAGGCAAGACATGACGCGACTCCAGATTTCCGAGGACATGGCTCTTGATAGGAACGTGTGGAGGTCGAGCATTAGGGTTGTAGGCTAGGGGGTAGTTCATAGTTTTTCCCTCTTTGTACCGGGTAGTCTGATAGAGTTTTGCCTATGTCTGGTAACGGTCTATGTTATATTCACACTATTTTGTTGTTTTGCATATGATTGTATTATTGCACTCCCTTTCACTTATTTGGTGTATTTTAAGATATTATTATTACTTCTCTTGCTTCTTTTGTTGTTACAGATCTCTTCTTTCGTTTCTTTTCTGAAATTATTATCTCTTCTGTTGAGCCGAGGGTCTCTCGGAAACAGCCTCTCTACCCTTCCGGAGTAGGGGTAAGGTCTGCGTACATCCTACCCTCCCCAGACCCCACTAGTGGGATTTTACTGGGTATATTGTTGTTGTTGTTGTTGTTGCCTTTCGTGAATATGTCAGCCTTTTGTTCTCTAGTACGAACATAAACATAGCTTGTGTGACTTACTCCTATATGAATTTAACCTAACAAAAAGGAAAATCAACTGTTATGTGTCCGTATGCTCGTGAAAGATTGGATTTGCTACTACCTAACATGAGATGTTATTTAAAATAAGACCTAAAGTAAGACTGTTCCCCTCAAGGTGTTTGGATGTCTTTGTTACGTTCAAATACATCTTAGAATTAGAGGAATGTTCGATGAGAGGGTGATAATGTGTGTATTCATTGGGGACCCAAAAGGACAAAAGAGATGACGTGTTTATGACCTCAAGTCAAGGTGAGTCTTCACATCAATAGATGTAGTATGTATGAAGAAGAGTCTCCTTTTGAGGAAGGCAAGGTACATGACATTGAGTTGTATCAAGGAACTCTCACAAAAAGAATAATTTAGAACAAATGATGTAGATTTTTTTCTTTTGGTATATGCCTTGTCTATGGGATTTTATCAATTATTAGTAAAATTACTTACCTTATCAGAAAAAAGAAAGGCTCTCAGGGAGAGGAATCTTCATTGGTGACAAATATACAAGTGCAACAGTTGGAGTCACAAAAAAATAATACTAATGAGCATCTTCACAAGAATGTGGATGAGCATATGCAATCCAAAGTAAAATAAAATGAAACAAGCACACCAAAAAATGAAGTTAATGGGAACAAATGTGAGGAACAGTCTGCTATGAAGCAAGAAAAGCTTGGTATATTGAGGTGATAGGAAGATTGAGGGGTGGACTCATACTTCCTGGAGTTTCGAACCAGCTTATACCTCTCACAAAGTGAGGTTGGGCCCACAAAGCAAGCCTACTGCAACTTCTTTGATTATTAAAAAAATGAGGAACAACTTGTACAAGCCAAATTACAAAGCAGGCTACAACAAGAGAAGAAAGCACCATCATATTTGAGGAATCATATGCAACCAACAGTCGAAAAAACCCATCTTCGGAATGTTGGAGTTCTCAGAGTCCATTTATAGTTGGAACTCTCGGCAACTAAGGGATTGTATGAGGGCCCTTGGGTGATTTGTGGCGATTTTAGCATCACTGAGTTCCCATGTGATAGAAAACATTGTTCTAGGTTTAGTAGAGGAATGCTGGAGTTCTTCGAGTTCATTGAAGATTTGAGTTTGATAGATCCTCTTTTATTTGGGGGAAAGTATACACGGTCAAGAAATAGTTTCAACTCTAGGATTTACAGATTCTTGTATTGTTTCGAGTGGGATGATCTCTTTAGTGCAATCAAACAATCCAAGCTCCCATGTGTTGTCTCGGATCACTGACCACTAATCCTAGAGTGCGGGCGTTGGTCTAGAAATGCCTCTTATTTTAAGTTTGAAGATATGTGGTTGGAGCATTGTGATTTTGAGGAATTGGACAAAAATTGGCGGATATCTTTTAGTATTTTGGCAAGCCGGATTATATTTTTGCTACGAAGCTTAAGCTACTGAAATTCAAGCTTAAAAAATGGACAAGTCCTGTTTTGGCCATTACAGGAAAGCTCCTATCCTGAATAAGGTCATGGAACTCGATCAAGCAGCTGAAGAAGCACCACTCTCGAATTATCTTTTGCTCTCAAAAGCCAACTTACATCTGGAGCTTGAGGACATTTTTTAAATGGAAGAAATTTCCTAGAGACAGAAGTCTAAGTGTTTTGTGTTGAGGCAAGGGGACAACAACACTGCTTCTTCCACAAGATGGCAAACTCCCACAGGAGATGCAATCATATAGACAACCCGAAGATTGGAGGAGTCCTATCTAAAAATGAAGATGCCATAAAAAAATGAGATCCGTAGGTTTTATGGAGCTTTGTATCGGGAGAATGAGACTTGGAGACCACATTGGGAATATGCGACCGCCCTAGCATTTCCAGCGAGGAAAAAGAGTTGCTTGAAAGACCCCTCCAGGATGAGGAAATTCATGGGATTATCAAAAGTTGTGAAAGTGACAAGGCATCGGGCCCCAATGGTTTCTCAACTGGATTTTTCAAAAAGTGTTGGACGATTATAAAAGTTGATTTGTTTAATGCTCTCAATCACTTTTACAACTCTGAATACTTTGATAGAAGTTTAAATTCCTTCTTCATAACACTTATTCCCAAGAAGATCGGTGCAAAGGAACTCAAAAGATTATAGACCTATCAGTTTGATAGGTAGCTTCTGTAAGATCTTCTCCAAAGCATTGGTAGATAAGCCAAAAAATGCACTGCCCAGTCTTGTCAGCTCCTCTCAAATGGCATTTCTCAGTGATAGAAACATTACAAATGCTGCGTTGATCGCTAATGAATGCTTGGATTCCAGGATGAAGTCAAGGAAGCCGGGAATCATTTGCACGTCGGACATTGAAAATGCGTTTGACCATGTAAATTGAGAATTTTTGTTGAATTTATTGAGTCGATTGGGCTTCGGTAGCAAATGGATTAATTGGGTGAGATTTTATTTATCCACAATAAAATTCTCCGTTCTCATCAACCATAACCCCCATGGTTTTTTTTTCCTCACAAAGAGGCCTCAGACAAGGAGATCCTCTTTCTCCTTCTCTTTTCATTCTAGTTATATAGGGACTTAGCAAAATGTTATGTAGTGCAACTCAGGAAGGCTGGATTTATGGTTTTCATGCGGATTGTAGATGTACAAGGAATCTCAAAATTTCTCACATTTTATATGCGGATGATACTTTGATCATGTGTAATGCAGAACATCATAAGAACATCAGGTTATGATTTTGAGGATGATTCTATCTTTCTTTGAAGCCGTCTCGGGATTACATATAAACTTTTCAAATAGCTCTCGGTTTCCTCTCAACAATGTGCCAGATATTAGCGGACTGCAAAATGTTTATCCTTATCTACTTGGGCTTACCTTTCGGGGATAAATTCAAATCCTTATATGTTATGAACGAGGTTCTTGAGAAGATGGAGAAAAAGTTGGCAAATTGGAAAAATCAATGCCTCTCTTTAGGTGTCAGAATCACTCTCATCAGTAGTGTTCTTAGTGCAATTCCTACTTATATGCTGTCTCTTTTTTAGGTACGATCCTCTGTCTTGAAGCGCATGGACAAATTGAGGAGAGACTTTCTTTGGAAAGGCAACAAACAATCTCACTCCTCTCTTGTTAATAGGAAGACAGTTGCTGAAGATAAAGAATAGGGGATTTGAGAATCAAGAACTTGAGGAACCATAATGAAAGCTTATTACTGAAATAGCACCGGAGATTCAATAAGGAAGACAATGCACTTTGGAGGAGAACCTTGGTGGAAAAATTCTCTCTTGAGAATCAATGACTCACCAAAGCATCCACAACACCTCGTGGCACTGGAATTTGAAAGCATATTAGAGGAGGTTGGAATAACTTTGAGGCAGATATGGGCTTCATTCTTGGAAATGGAAGGAAAATAAGGCTCTGGAAAGATGCATGGATGGGCGACACTCCTCTTAAAGATCAATACAATATTTCTTCCCGCACAATGGGGTAGTTGCTGAATTTATTCAATGCAAGGCTGGAATCTCTTTCCTTGAAGGAACTTAAATGATTGGGAAATGGAAAGTTTATGTCTTTTGCTTCAGCGACACCATAGCCTTGGATCACAATAAAATAGATTTTGTCAAATGGGAGGGATATTTCCAAAGGTCTCTTTACAGTCAAAAGTTGATTCGTTGGAATCAAGCAACAATGGGGATTATTCGCCTTGGAAAATTTTTTGGCTTAGCAAGGCTCCTTTGAAAGTCTCTTGCTTCTCTTGGATCATGGCTGGGGAAGTTTGTCTGACTCATTGGCCACCTCTTCTCGCATTATAGAGTTAACAATCAACCATTGAACATGTTTTGGCAATACTTGGCATGTCTTGGACCATGCCAAAATTCATTTTTGAGCGATTGCAATGCTGGAAAAAAAGGGATTGCGCAAGAGATCACAACAGACTTGGAATACCATTCCCCAAGCCATTTGGTGGACTATTTGGCTTGAAAGAAATAGCAGATTTTTTTATGGCAACAAGAGAAACATAGATAGCCTTGAACAATGATGTATTTGTTTGCTCGATTTTTGGTGCAACCTGCTTATTGTACATGATGAAGTTGGATTTCTAGATATGATAGAGGAACTGCACTTTTTGTAATTATGTCATTGGGCACTGGCTTAGAGCAAGTATATATAAATCTTTGATTACTTATTCAAAAAAGAAAAAAAGAAAAATTCATCTTCGAAATACTAGTGTATAGCTTCTTTAGGTAAAGCCCATTCTCAAACCACTTTAGTTATGAACGTTTCTCTTCAGCACACAAGACATTCTTGTGTACCAGTTTCAATTGTGCCTAGAAATTAGTTTGAAGCCATGAAAGATGAAAGGTGGATGCAAGCTATACAAGCAAAAAATTTAGAGACAAGTTGCACATGGACGCTATTGCCACTACCAAAAAGTAAGAAGGCAATAGGTTGTCGATGGATCTATAAGATCAAATATCGTGCAAACGGATCCATAGAGTAGTTTAAGACAAGGCGTCTAGGACATAATTAAGTAAATAAAAATGTGCTTCTTCTAACAATTTAAGCTTTTAGTGAGATGGTTACCCAATACAGAGCTAGAATCGTGTATTATTAGTTTACTCAATATTGGACCCCCCCTATGATATGTTGTCCACACTCCAAATGTCCTGGGCTGATATGCGGGGGTGGGGGGGGGAGGGNGGGGGGGGGGGGGGGGGGAGGGGGTTAAATATCCCTCATTAATATAGAGAACGAGTTGTTGTCTCCTTATACAGTCTTTGGCAGTACTCACCTCATGAGCTAACTTATGATGTTGAATTAGGCCCAGGGTACTATCTCGCCGAGCTATATGCTTAACACCTGCAAGTTGAATTGATTAGAAACAACTTAAAGTTCCATTATTTTGTGGAGTCAAATGCA